GGTGTCGGCAAAGGACTGGTGCCGGCAAACGACTGGTGTCGGCAAATGACTGGTGTCGGCAAACGACTGGTGTTAGCAAACGACTGGTGTCGGCAAACGACTGGTGTTAGCAAACGACTGGTGTCGGCAAATGACTGGTGTCGGCAAACAACTGGTGTTAGCAAACGACTGGTGTCGGCAAAGGACTGGTGCCGGCAAACGACTGGTGTCAGCAAACGACTGTACAGCGTTGCGACAAATAATGAACGCCTTGACCAAGGCTACATGTATCTTGCCAGGAACTTCTTATTTACCTCAAATCTGTGACTGATGTAGGAACAAATAGCTTATTTTAAAAATCTCTTTGTGTAACTTCAAAGGAAAAATAAGTCCTATGTGAAGTAATGTAGGCTAAGTTGTACCTTCCTCAATCATGGAAAACATCCCAGGTCCTCCAAAATATCCTGGTCAATTCACAAGGATATGGAAGGGTTAGGATAGTCTGGGTATTAAATGTTGGTTACTAACAGTAATAAGGTTTATCAAGCAGTTAATGTCAAGGACAAAATTAATATTAGGTGTTATTGTTTTTTGACAGCTTGTAATCAGCAAAGTGGATCATGTGAAATGTGTCTGGGGAATAAATTGGCTGACTTTGACTGTGGTTGGTGCAGTGCCTTGAATACGTGCTCATCAGGATTTGATCGGAATAGACAAGAATGGATAGATGCTGGTTGTGATCAGGAGGTACTATGACCTTAAAATGTCCATTTTAATAAGGGTTTATGCAGTGTGGTATTATACATCTAAGTGTAACCCTTGCAAATGCATCTTTGGGTCTCAACTTTATTTTTCATTTGTTTAAAAATTATTCTAAGGGTATTTTGGTGCCTTTTGGGATTTTATGCTAATGAGATTTCCATATTCATGAGCAAAACTGTGTTGTCGTGCTGTTTTTTCTGCGGATTCATAACTTGAGGATCGGTCTTGTCAAAGATTATATCCAAGTCAAGAGCCTCTTCAGACAATTATACATTTGTGTTGCACTGACATTTTGATAACTTAATCTCCAAACATTATTTGAAAGCTCGAAACAAACTGAAAGTAACAGAACGACTCATACAAAATTAAGGAATTTGGAAAAAAAAAAGATAATTAGAAAGTATCATAGAAGTGGAGGCCATGAAGAGATGTAGAAAAATGGTCACTTTACGTGTACATGTTCATTTGAAATGATTGCAAAGGGTCTACAGAATTAGAATTGAAATTTCAATTTTTTTAAAGACTAAGGATTCGATTCTTCATAGCAGTCTTATACTATATGTCATACTGATTTTGTCAAAATAATCTGAACCCTTTCTTCAGAGGTTTTGATAATGAATTTTGATCCAAGAAAACCACAAGTCTATTGCATTTAACCTACCCAAACAGTCACTACATATGCAAATTTCCCGTGTACCTATTGTTATTTGCTGAAAAGACTTGATCATCCAGAGTGCATCCTGACCTCCCACAGTGTATCACAATCACGCCGCCATGATCGTCCTTCTTTTGTCAGTGCTGTAACTTAATGGAAGTGTCTTTTTTAGGCATCTTTGATTTTTTGAGTTTCTGTTTTTGCTACATGGTTCTTTGTCGACTTGATCATCCTTTTATATTTCTAGGTATGGTCAAGCTTGCTACTGTTGCTATAGGCCTAGTCGCTTGAGCAGGTGGAGCACATGTTAAGTGGCCCATTTAATTAATTCTCTCATTAATTGGGAGATTCAACCTCACCAGTACTTCAATGTGAATCATGTAAGACTTTAAAGAGGGACAGTGTAATAACACATCTTCCGATCTCTCAAAGTTAAGCTGTAACTCAAGCACAAGAGCTGACAAGGAGGAAGTGTATTATTGCATGAAATGCTTGTAAGGAACAGAATTATGTATTTCTTCCAATCTACCACAATTTATTCAGGTCTTTAAAAAGCAAAATGACAAATTCATACTAAAAGGTCATCGCATTTTCGGTTTGACAGGGTATAAATATAAGTTGCTTTTCGTCTTGACTTTCAAACTAATCAGATAAGCGTCAGTCAACTGCTTTCATTTTCCTCTTTTTTTTTCTTTTCAGCATAATTTTAGCTGACTGATGGAATCATTGGTATTTTTTTTTTTGTCCTAGGGAGCGGTATAGCTCAGACAGAGTTCGGTTTTATTCTGATGAAACAGGTCTGTCCCTTCAAAGTATTCCAAAAGTGTATGCACGATACAAAGGGACTCATCATTTGGATACACTGACAGAAAAGTCACTGCTTGTGGTTTCCCCATCTTTGAAGTTTTAACCATATCTGTTATGTACATGTACTGTACATGTACATTGTCATTTGTTTATCGACGGCCCTCATGTTAGCTATATCGAACAAAAATAAGGTCTAGGTCTGTTGACCGGTTGTTAGTGCATACAAGCTTATAAGTCAGATGTTTTAGACTGATGGGTTTAACTGGTTCTAAACTGCTTGTACAGTGAAGGAGTGTTCCAACATCCCATGTTTGGGAGTACTAGGGAAAATGTAGTCTAATATTGGAGAGGCCTCTCATGAACCGGGGTTGTCAGTGGATAACTTCCAAAGTTCCTGCTTGTGGTGCGTCACAGTAGGGCTGAAAGAGCTGTCTGAGTGGTATTAACTGTGCTGTATTCTGCCCCGTCATATACCATACTCGTAAGGAACTCCAAAGCCGAATCACAGTGGCATAAATGGGATCAATCGGCTGTTCAGAGCAGCCATTTTGTAAGAGTGGAGGAGTACTGTCTCTGCACTCTCCCTTTCCATGAATGCAGGATGATGTCGACAGTTTCTCGCAAAAGGCCCTCTGAAATGAAGGCTTGCCTAATAAGAGAACAGTACACATCATCATTTGTCCTTCTAATGGATGATGTTGATGCGGAGCCTATGGGAGCGAAAGCAACTTGCTGGTGTTAAGTAACATTACTTGAAATGCTGTCAGTAGCTGCAATAGTCTAGGGAACCAATGTTGAACTTGCCACATTGGGAAGACAAAGATACCTCATGATTCGTCGAGTTCTATCTTGTATAAGACCCTGTCAATGACAGCATAGGGAGGAAAAGCATTTGTCATTGGACCATGATTTTGAAAAGTCATCACGTCTTTCTCTCAGGATTGGGGAACCGAGACATAAATGGCTTTAACTGATAGTTAAGCCTTGATGCGAAAAGTTTAACACTGGGTTTGATGTTAAAGTGTGTTAAAATCTTGTGAAAAATCTCTCGCCTCATCGGAGTTATCCTACTCGTCGCTTTAATTTCATCCCTCTAAGCAGTAGCTGAGGCTTCGCCGGTCTACAACTCACATAACTCTCAGATTGAGTGAATTTCGCCAGGGGCAAGAGTATTCATCGCATTCCTCCTGTGTATTCTGGGGGTGTCACTGATAATAACACCACCCGTGATCGCCGATCCTTGTCCTGCTGGTGGCCGTTTACAATGGTTCGCAGAGTCCTGGCAAGAGATTACCTTGGACCGATACTGGGCCCAAACTCCAGTCCCATGCAAAAGACTAATGCTTCGCATTGGGTTCTGAGATAAAATCCCCACTGCAAAGAAGACTACCCTTCAAGTTCTCAATCCAGTTAAGTGAAGGTCAATTTCTTGTCAAGATTCTTCTTCTGGCACCATCCCAGCTCCCAACTAACCTCGGGGCAATTATTAACTTTTGCAAAGGCAGCATTACCCCGACAGCCAGACAAGTTTTCAATTTACAGAAGTGAATCTCACTTCAGTCCACTCAATTGCCTCTGGCCTTTGCCTGGCTCCACCTCCTCAGACTGATGGCCAATGTGGTTGACTTTACACTGTGGTCCAGGCTTTGTTTGAGTCTGCTGCAACTTCACCTACCGGTACTTTCTTAATGCCATCCTAAGTCACAGACCATTGAACTTCCGGTCTTCGAATCAAAGGACACTTGCCAATATCTGCTAAAGGAAGATTACCTAAAAGCCAAATTCAGTCTCACAGACTAAATCCCAGATACTGATGAGGACCGCATCCTCACTTGAATGGAGCCTCCCTTCCCCTACATCAGGTTTCAGGGAACTGGGATGGCCACTCTCAGTAAAATCACTTCAGTACCCGGGAACTTCAAGCGATTTTCAACGCCCTGCGTATTCTCCTCTTATGCATCAAAGGGGAGAACATCCTGCTCCGCCCACACAATTCAACAGCAATGGGTAATTCCTACCTTTGAGGTGGCACACATTTTTTCCCCAGTTAAGCTTCATAACATGGGAATCTTACAATGGATAAAAGACCATGTTATCAACCTACAAGAAGTCCCCATCATAGGGCCGGATAATATGATAGTGGTTGTGCTCTCTCACAACAGAGTGGACTCTGCTCCCTTGCATAGTCAGAGCACTCTTCCCTACGTTATCTGGTCCAGCGGAACAAAAGAGGTCGTGTTTTTTGGTACGCACCGCATATGCCGTTTGATGCAGAGCACGCTGAGTACGCGTAACTAATGGTCTTTACGTATGTGCGGAATGGTGCAAGAACCCGCTTCCTTCTTTCGCTGATTGAGGGTGCACTTCAGCTGGGGGCGGATAAGAGCTCACATTGAGCTCTTATCATTAGCAGACAAGGCCTAGCTCCAGATGTTCTCCACCAGAGCACTGCATCTGTGGGCATAGGCCATGATCACTACAGATCACCTAGACCTTCTTACTAGCGTATGCTTTCCCTCCTGTCTCTCTGGTCCCTCTGGTCGTCCCTGAGATAGAACAAATGCTGCCGGACATTACTAATCACCTCACTCTGGCAGCATCAGCCCTGGTTCCCCGTACTCAGGAGGCCTTTGGTTCACCAGCCGTCCATCCTTCTGACCAGACTGGACTTCCCCCCAGCAGCCCAAACCAGGGATCCTACATGGAGACATCTGGGTTCCTACACTTGTGATATTGGATATTGTCCAATGATCCTTCTGCTCGGCAAGATTTTCTGACGACACTGCAGCCATGTCCGCATGGGTACACCATTTCTCTGGCTGTTGGTCATCTGAGCGCTATAGCAGTCTTTGTCATCTACCTTTTCCACTGTGTAGGATGGATTACTCTATTATCACGGTAGTTGTCACATTTCATGATCGAAATACATGTAAAGATTGCTCGCTCATCTTCCTGAATTATCCTGTCCTTGCTTTTGTTTAATTCTTACTTTTCAACTTGATTGTAAAATGCTGAAGGAATAATAAATTATGTGGGTATCGCAAATTTCATTTTTTTGGTGGATTCATTCTTTTATTGATGTCTGAAACATTTATTAAAAATGACTTCTTTCTGAGTTCTAATTTTCCAAGAGTTATAAGCATCTCATTAGACCGGAACTATTTTATTCAAAATTTATGTTACAAATTCTAAATATCCCTTGCAAATTCTTCAAATTGTATTAAAAAAGCAAAACAAAATAATGACAATAGTGACAATAATGCCGACGTAATTATTCGCTAATTGCCCTGGGCATGGAGGGTATAAAAGTATGAATGATACAAGTCTAATGTAATGGAGATTGGGGGTGCGCTTTATGCGTGCAAAAAAGATTTTAGTGCAGAAGCCCTTATTTTGGCAGTTAAAATGTGCCTTTAGACACCTTTGGCCACTTCGAAATAGAATCCAGCAATGGATATCCAAGTGCAGGGTGGCATTAGAAATAACTGTTAAAGAGATAGACGGTTGGTATTGATGAACATGGGCAAGGAGAATTTACAAATGGTCAAGGAGAATTTACAAATTTTGGCAAAATTACATCTTTTGTTCAAATTATCCAAATTTACAGAAACATGCAGAATTTTTTTTTTTATGAAAACTTATCCTCAGGCCCTAAATTATTGATTACCTGGTGAATATTGCCGATTGGGAACTCACTGGCAGCGCCAAATTCAAAATTTCCGATATTACTATAATAGAGTTACTGCAAAAATTTAGGAACCAAGTATACAAGTTTCTACAGTCTGCTTCTACAGATCAGCCTTGACCACCATATATGTCAGCTTCAGAAACAACTCCATCTCTGATGACATGGCCCGTCAGCATCTCCTGTGTGGTATGTCTAATGAACATCCCCATACCAAGCAGCTAGTCATGTTTGGGGACCTAAGCAAAGGCCTTCCACTTGCTTACTGTTTCCCCTTTTGTTTGAGCCCCTCACTGATGTCTCCTTATTGCATGCCAGCACCAATCCAGTCCTCCTCCTGGTTGTGGGTACCTCCACAGGAGACAATATACTGCAAGCCTACTCTGTCAGAGCTGACCCTTGCTGGCGGCTGCATAATATCCGCCTCATCCTGTCCATTGGCTTTATGGCAAAAAATCAGACCTCGTCATTTGAGCCGCCAGATATATTTGTGCTCTCAATTGCCTCATATGCCAGATGCATTAGGGACAAACTCTGGTGCCTAGTCCACATATTGAACTAGTAAAGGAAAGCACTGGATGGGGACTGGCACCCAATGATTCCTCACTACCACAAGGCTCCATAGCCCAACAGCAAGAGACCCCATCAGCTGCCGGATGTTGTTGGCCATCAGATTCGCCAAGCCTGACTGGCCATCATGCCCTGAGGAACATAGTCAGTACAACATTGGGGTCTAAGATGTAAGGGCAGGTGTCTTCATCTTGACCTTAATTTCAAGGGTTTTCTACTGTAGACTTCTGCAAGGCTGCATGTCGGGAAGTCTCCATCTACCTTCACCATTTTTCTTGCATGGCAACTCTGCACATGGCAAGAATATCTTACAGTCAACAGCACAGATGTCAAGGGGACCTCCTGTAGATGGGGCAGATGACAAGTCATCCTGATGACCTAACTAGGATGGCTCTGATCTTTCACCTGCCTGTACATGTACTTTAATACATAAGTTTATCATCATTTATAATTCACCAATATGTATTTATCATGCTCATGTTTAGTGCATATGTCGTAGACAAGCAGCACCTTAGACCGGTACTCTGCATATGTAGTGACTGTTTGGGTAGGTATTCTTTCGCAGATTCAACCCACGTATATGGGGGAGGATTAATATGTAATCAGTGCAATTTTAATACCTAGTTTTTACACAAATTTGATATAAGTATGATTTCAAGGACAATTGATTTTTTTTGTGTTCAAATGTTTATCTGATATGTATGCCTATGTGCTCCAAAAAGAAAACACTCTACACTACTTCTGTGTGCTTCTCAATTAAACACCATCACAGATCCTTCAACCATGTTCCTTTTAAGCAATGTCTACTTGCTAGTGTTACTTTGTGTGTATCAACTCAGTTGAATACCAAAGTGTGACGTCATTTGAACCAGGAAGTATAGTGCAAACAGATGGAATGTGCATGTGTGTTGGTTTGCGTGCTGGTACTAATGCCTTGTACACACATAATAGTGTGCGTGACCTATTCACTTCAGCACTCGTTAGTCTTTTCATTTTCACGTTTTCTTGTTTTTTTCAGAAACATACAGATGTTGCTCATTGCCCCACAGGTAAATATCAAGGTTCAGCATTTTTGTTACAATATTATTGATACATGATATATATAACCAGTGCAGCAAGAAATGAGGTAATACTGAAATCACCGAAGACTTTTACTTCTAATACCTAAAGAAAAGGAAATCTAGCAACAGTTGTTGTCCAGCAGTCTAGCATTTTGGTAACCAACTTATATGTTGTCTAGGGTTTGCATAAAAGTTTTACTATTAAGCTGCCCTAATAAATGCTGGAACCATATTCAAGGTCCTACCAAAGTCCTCAATTGAACTTGAATTTAATATAATGCTGCGGAATAATAGATACCAAGAATGTGATTTGTGAGAACTACGTATGAATAGGTACAAATACTTGAGTGGTTTTGTCAGATTTACTTTATCCCTAGCAGTGATAGATGCTGAATTTGGGGGTTGAAAATTAACTGTCTCACTTATTCTGGTGAGCACTGTTTTCCTTTATATTTCCCCCAGATATGAATGCATGTACATGTATGTACATGTACATGGATATAGATTCTCTGTGATTTACTAAGTTGCTATGAAGTCTTTTGCCTCTAGTCGGTAATGAAATCCATTTCTGAAAGTGAAAGAAACAAAATGTTTATTTCTAATAAGATGTGTAATTGAAAGCAATCAGTCATAGGTATGATGGGGGAGGGGCTTATGCTTAAAAAAGGGGAACAGACAAGTAATTGAAAGACAGGTCAAAGTCAATAAATTTGAACAATTTTGCCTCCTTTCTGATGTTTAGGCTTCCAGGCATTTCAGTCACAGTGTAAATGAGTTGGCTTTGTTTTCTCAAAAAGAAAAAACATTGTAGCAACGTCATGCAAACACGTTGTTACAAATAGTAGTCTACTAGGAAAGTCTCAACAATTGTGTCTAGTGGTACTGTGCTTTGTTTTCTGAGGGATGTCAACAAAGACTGTGATTTTAGTTTTACTTCACAGTAGCTTGTGATGTTACTTCACTTTAAAATTTTTTTTGTGAATTATGTTATAGAGTATATTGGCATATTCAGTTCATATGTTGAATAGAGAGTAAATTGAAGTACATGTGTGTGATATAAAGAAGTGTTTTCTTTTTGCTGTAGGTATTTCTGCAGGCTCAGTGATTGGTGGCATTGTTGGAGCCTTGGGGATCATTTTGGTCTGTGGATTTCTATTGTGGATTATCTATGGCTACACTCATCCAACATCCAGGTCTGGTCTTGCTCTCATTGAAGTGAGTACTAGTGCAAGTGCACTGGGGTTTCAGATTGGTTTGTGTACAGCATCACTTACAGTTCCTGGTGATAATATTTATTGTGACTGAAGTGTTCAACTTTGCCAACTGTCTTTACTAAGCCATCAAAGTAGGCCCATACAAACAACAACTCTGGCATGCTGGGTGTGCAGCAGTGCCTCCCTTGCTTGAAAGTGTGGCCCATTTTCTCCTTACAGCTGTGAAATGACACTGCAATTGTGAGCAAAATACCTGACCAGAAATAAATTGCATTGAACTGAAGTACTAGTTTGAAGAGATTGTAGAAACATGTATAGGTACACAGACCAGAATTTTACTTTGGGAATAAATATGTGCTTGGCTGGTCTTGGCTGT